AAGCTATTAGAAAATGTTGGATATTAGTATCCTGAGAATCACCACTCTTGTTATTGTCATCATTATCATCAGTCACTGTGATAATCAAGCTGGTTTATGAATCCTTTAAGTTTTAGAACATGAAAAGAGGAGGAAGAGTTTGAACGTTTCACAGAAGTGACACTTCAATAGGGACAGGATAGATTAACAGAAATTACTAGGGACAAATGAAAAAAAAAAAAAAAAGGAAAGTACTAAAAGATGTCTATGACTCTTTTATTGTACAGACATTGTAGAAACACCTTCTAGATTCTTCACACTCCTCGCACTGTTTTCCCTTAACTCTCTGACTCATATCTTTCAACCCCTTCCTTATTGGCTTCCCTACTAATCTTTGGACATACAGGCCTTATGCCTTTGTACTTTTTCCTCAGTTTGGGATACTGTTCCTTGAGATATATGCATGGCTAGCTCCCTTGTTTGAAATGGTTGCTAAAATGTCAACTTCTCAGTAAGTACTTCTTGACCCACTCTAGCCTTATAATACTGAGACTCATTTGTATTTTATTGCTGTTAATCTTTGGCACTGAAAAGGATAAGCAAGGTCAATTTGAACTACAACATGAAAAGTTTAAACTCACCAAGCACTCCTTGTTGTTGTTGTTAGATACCATCCAGTCAGTACCAACTCATAGCAACCTTATGCACAACAGAATGAAACACTGCCCGATCCTGGGCCAACCTCACTACTGTAGCTTGAGTCCATTGATGCTGCCACTTGCTATTCCATCTCCTTGGGGGTCTTTCTCTTTTTCTTTGATCCTCCACCTTACCAAATATGATAACCTTCTCCAGCAACTGGCCCTTCCTGACAATATATCCAAAGTATGAGAGATGAAGTTTGGCCATTTTGGCCTCCAAGGAGAATTCTGGCTGTACTTCTTCCAAAATGGATCTATTGGTTCTTTTGGCAGCCCATGGCACCTTCAATATTCTCCTCCAACACCAAAACTCAAAAGCATCAATTCTTCTTTAGTCTTCCTTACTCATTGTCCAGCTTTCGCATGCATATGAGGTTATTGAAAATACCATGGCTTGGGTCAGGCGCACCTTAGTCCTCAAGCTGACATCTTTGCTCTTCAACACTTTAAAAAGGTTTTGTGCAGCATATTTGCTTAATGCAATATGTCATTTGATATCTTGACTGCTGCTTCCATGAGTGTTGATAGTTGATCCAAGAAGAATGAAGTCCTTGACAACTCCAATCATTTCTCCATTGATAAGAATGTTGTTTATTGGTCCAGTGGTGAGGATTTTTGTTTTCTTTATATTGAGATGCAATCCATACCAAAGGCTGTGCTCTTTGATCTTCATCAATAAATATTTTAAGTCCTCTTCACTTTCAACAAGCAAGTATCATCTGTATATCACAGGTTGTTAATGAGTCTTCCTCCAATCCTGATCCCACATTTTTCTTCATGTAACCCAGCTTCTCAATTATATGTGACTATAAGTATATGTGTATATACGGTTGAATAAGTGTGGTGAAATAATACAACCTTGTCGCAAAGCTTTCTTAATTTAAAAATATTCAGTGTTCCCATATTCTGTTTGAACAACTGCCTCTTGGTCCAGGTACACATTCCTCATGAGCACAATTAAGTGTTCTGGGATATTGATACTTCGCAGTGTTGTCCATAGCTTGTCATGATCCACAAAATCAAAAGCCTTGGCGTAGTCAGTAAAGTGCAGGTAAACATCTTTCTGATATTGTCTGCTTTCAGCCAAGATGCATCGGACATCAACAATGATACCCCTCGTTCCACAGCCTCTTCTGAATCCGGCTTGAACCTCTGGAAGTCCTCTGTCAATGTATGCTTGCATCCGTTTCTGTATTAACTTTAGTAAAACTTTACTCACATGGGATAGCAAAGAGATTGTCCGATGATTTCCACATTCCATTGGGTCACCTCTCTTTGGAATGGGCACAAATATGGGTCTCTTCTAATCAGTTGGCCAGATAGTTGTCTTCCAAATTTCTTGGCAGAGATGAATGAGTGCCTCCTGTACCGCCTCATTTTCTTAAAAGATTTCTATTTTTATTCCATCAATTCCAGGTGCCTTGTTCTTTTCCAATTCCTTCAGTGCACCTTGGATTTCCTCCTTCAGTATCATTGGCTCTTGAGCATATGCTATATCTTGAAATTGTTGAACATTAACCATTTCCTTTTGGTACAGTGACTCTGTGTTTTCCTTCCATCTTCTGGTGATGCTTTCTGCATCATTCAATAATTTGCCCAGAGAATCTCTCAATAACGAAAGTTGAGGCTTGATTTTTTTCTTCAGTTTCCCCAGCTTGAGAAATGCTGAGTGTGTTCTTCTTTTTTGGTGTTCGATTCCAGATCTTTGCACATTTTGTTGTACTATTTGGCTTTATCTTCTTGAGCTGATATTTGAAATTTTCTGTTCAGCTTTAAGACCTCCTCATTTCTTCCATTTGCTTTAGCATCTCTACGCTGGAGAGCAAGTTTCATTGTACCTGGAAGAGTACATGGCATTCTCAATAAATATCTACTGATTGAGTTAGTTAAAACCCGTAAAGATAACATATTTCTTAAGGCTACCTGAAGCTGATGATGAGAATAGAAGCATTTATTCTCTTAGGAAAGTTGTCCTGAACACTCTTAAATCCAAATAAAAATGCCCTGTATTGTTGCACTTCATTTCCCTTTGAGTTCAGATACCTCCTTCTGCTACAGACCTTATGATGCCACCTCTTTTCTTCCCTTCCTTCACCAATTCTTCTGATGTAGATGGCTTCCTTTCTTGTGCCTCAGAAGAAAAGTTTCTCTTCCCACCCATCATCTCCTATTGATTTCATGCCTCATCTGTGTTATGTCCTCCTCTACTCTGCAAGGTTCCCACAAGACCCTCTAGTGACCATAACAGAAGTAAAGCAACAACTGCTCCTTATTATCAGAAAGGATCTTATATTTTAGTATTTTCCGAGGCCTGTATCAGATTTCATGGCTCCTTCCTTTCCTGAACGAGGGTGCTAACCTTCTCCACACTGTTGGTTTCCTTCCACTGTCTTTACCAGACAACGTATGATAGAATCAATTTAGGAGCCAGACAAACTTAAGTTCTAATCTCAGATCTGCTACTTACTAACAGTGTCCTTACCTTGTTTCTCATCTGTAAAATAAAGATGACACCTTCTTAATGGATTGTCATGATTGCTAAATAAGTCAGTTCTTCCTCAGTGCCTGACATAGTTATCTTTCAACACATCAAGCACCCTCTTTTCTACCAAATAAAGGAAACTGGTGAGTGAGTGATGTCTCACTCATCAGAAGTAGAATATCAGAGAGTCAAGAGGCGGAAGCTTACGATTGGAGGGACAAGATAGTGTAAACCTAGTTTTTGGCAATAGCAGAAGAGATGTGAGATGAGTAGTCCTGGAAACCTTCCCACCTGGTGAAAGCACCCTTTGTACTTTGCTGTGTTTATAGAGTGCCTAACCAAACCAAAACTAAACCCACTGCCATTGAGTTGATTCAGACACATAACAACCGTATAGGATAGAGTCAAACCACAGCATAGGGTTTGCAAGATTGCGGAAGCTGATCACTGCATCTTTCTCACAAGGGTTGCCTAGTGGGTATCAGTAAGCAGCAGAACTTTACCACTGTGCCACTAGGGCTCCTTCTAGTGCCTAAGAAGATCTGACATTTACTGGACATTTAATTACCATTATTGTTGTTAAGAGCTATTGAGTAGGTTCCGACTCAGAACGACCTTATAGAGGCATTCTGAGGCTATAAATCTTTTCGGGATCAGAAAGCCTCTTCTTTGTCCCTTGGAGTAACTGGAGGGATTGAACTACTGACCTTGTACTTTGCAGTCCAGTGCTTATCTAGAGTCACATATGTGACATTAATATAAGCCGGTGGTTATCAGAAAGGGAGATCAGGAGAGAACATTAAGTATTATGGAGAATCAATAACCAATAAAAAACACACATTTTGTGTTGTCTGTAGGCTTGTGTTTAAAATATGAGTGTTCTTGAGCACAGTATTTTACTTTTATAAATACATAGTAGGCAAGATACAGTTTCGGTTTAATAGGCAAGTATGAGCTGCCTTATTCCTATAGGTTATTGTTAATGTTAAATGCCATTGAGTTGGTTCTGACTCATAGCGACTTTGTATAGGATTTCTAAGGATCAACTGGCAAATTTGAACCACTGACCTTGAGGTTCAAACTGACCTTTCAGTCTAGCACTTATCCTACAGCGCCACTTATGAAACATTATTTTCATGGGGAAATACATCTCAGATTACAAGTGTTCAGTGTCCAGTTGTGCTCTGGGAACATAGGGTTAATTGAGAATTTTATCATTTTATTTGTGATATGTGATTATGTTTTTTAAATGCCATATGATTACAAAAGCACCTTTTTCTAAAATTTACTCTAATTAAAAAAATAATAATAACAGTAGTGATTTAAGAAGCTTTCATGTTTGTCAAACATGTTTCACTACACATTTTTCTTCTCTTCATAATTTTGTGGGGAAACAAAAGCAAACCTTTGTAAAACCAAATTTCAGTTTGGAAAAATGAAGGGAAAATAATCCCTATGTGGTTTTTAATCACCTGAATGATTACAATCACCAATCACATTTGCCATCATTCCATTTCACCCTTGAATTTGTGTACCCACCAGGGGAGGCAAAATTGCCCAGCAAGGGTCCATATTGAAATCACTGCAGTAGAAATAATTGTCTAGACTAATGAAATACCAGCTTCTTGTGTCACCTGTTGGGCATTTGTGTCTTCCACACTGCAGCTATTCTCTATGCTTCTTTTCCTTTCTTTTTTTTAAGTGTACCAACTTACAAAATCATTTAGCTAAGAGAATTGCCATTTTTCACATCTACATTTTAAAAAAAATCATTGCATGGTATTAATGTAGCTTTATTCATCATATATTCTGTATTTCTTTAACATTTCATTCCACAGGCACTCCAGAAAGTCTGAAAGATCTAGCACCCAAAAACAGATGAGGAAAGGCACTACCTCTGATGCAGAAAGGTAGGCTTGGTGTTGTGCTGTGCTTTCATCTTTTGTTTTGTTAATAGTCTCAGGGGTGCCTGCTCTCTCATTTTACATCAGTTCTTAAACACAAAATGAGATATGCAAAGTCAACTATGTCAATAATTCTACTTCTGTATGGTCTCATTCAAGAAACAAGAAAAAGGTACTTGGAAGGAATTACTTAATCTTAGGGTTTAAAATAATTCTGTTTAAAATAATTTCCCTTAGTGATCATTCTAATTACAAAAGAAGATGAATACACACTTATTCCTGTATACATTTTTAGGACAGTAATAATTTGATTCTGACATCATTAAATGGTATCACTGATTCTAGTACCTGAAATATAAATATTTTGAGTGTCTTTCATTTATTATTTATCTGAATAGTATCTTTTTCTTTACATTTCTTTTTGACAGATAGTCTAAGATTCTGCTTGTACATTACAACCAAAGATATTTGCTGAGTTAATGTAAAAATTATAAGGGATTTCTGGCATTGAAATTTGATTCAATTCCAGAAATATTTTTGGATATTTTTAGGCTTAAGATATTGATACTTTTTCAACAAAGCTGTAAAATCTACTACAAAAGGATAACTCATATAAACTCATTTACCTATTATCCAACAATAATTGAGAGCATATTGAGGTTTGTAGGTAAAAATGAATAAGTGCATAAAATTGCTATAGTTGTTTATATAGAAAGATGCACAAGCCACAGTGACTACACAGAAATGTAGAGGAATGCAGAGAGGGTGAATTTAAGGAAATGCTTCACTTGTGCTAAATCCAGCTAGATGAAAGCAGATGTAAAAGTACATGATACCATGAAAGGAAACAATGTAAGAAAACATTTGAGACTTGAAAAATACTCTTGAGCTTGGGAAGCTATGCTGTTTTGGGATGGATGGATAGAGACTAGGCTTCAAGAAAGGGGGAGAGATAGCTAAAAATAAAAATGGAAGAATTTTAATTTCCTCTTTATTCATCCATGATGCATTGATAGACTTTAAATATGGATAGCAATTGATCAGTTTTGAGTTTTAAAATGAAAGGACATTTGACAACATTTTAAAAGGTGCATTGAAAGATCCAAAGGTAGAGACGGCACCAGCTAGATTAAGAAACAATCTGTACAATTTAGAAATGCATTCAGTTAACAAAAATGTGCCAACCTCTGTGCTAAGTGCATGAAATTAAATTTTGAGCAGCCAAGAAAGAATGAAAACTTCCCAGAGGAAATCATAACCCTGAGTCATTGTGGGTTTTGTTGTTAGGTGCCATTGAGTCACTTTCGACTCATAGTGCTATTGTGTAGGGTTTCTAAGGAGCAGCTGTTGAGTTTGAACCGAGATCAATTCTGTTACAACTCATGGTAACTCCATGTGTGCAGAGTATAACTCCTCCATAAGGTTTTCAAGACTGTGACTTTTCAGAAGCAAATTTCTAGGCCTGTCTTCAGAGGACCTCCCTGGGAGGTGGGGGAGGGTGGTGTTCAAACCATCTCCATAGTCAAGTGCATAATCGTTTGCACCACCCAACTCTTCCACCATTGAGTTAAGATCTGAACAGTAGGTGTTATATGGGTCAAGAGATGTGTGTGAGGGGGAAATGCAACTTTCTTTTCCTAATGGTATGGAGATATTGTATATTTAGGGCATTTTATTTAGAGTAACAAAAGGATCTAAGCAATGCAAGCAAGTGTTTGGGAAGAAATTTAGTTTTACAAAGGGGTTTGTAGATGGACTTTGAGGAGGGAAATGAAGCATAAAGCTCATTTATATATATAAAGACAATAATCTAAAAATGCAATTGTTTTTATTTACACACGTTTAATCTCAAATTAACTAAATGCAATTTCTTTGTTAACTCAAATTCCTTAGGCAAGTTCTTAATCTTTCCCAACCTTTTCATATACATGATTTCAGTGCTATCAACAGGATTCAAATTTTCCCTCAAAGTCATATACTTTTTATTCCATTCATTTATTTAAAGAATACTATTTATGAGTAATTTGTACAGTTATGGATTTTAGAATATATCAATAAACAAGTTTTTTGATCGTAGGATATTACTTTACACAGTGTTGTATATGTTAAGAGGTAACTGAAGGTGTGTGATGCCAGTTGAGTAGTATTTGGGCCTCTGAAACTTGGGACAGTCATCTGTGGATAAAACAAAAACAAGAATAGCAAGAATACTCCCTATCTCAAATATTAATGTTTATATTACTCCTGAGTTTACTTTATTATTTGTTTGAATATATTTAAACCTCTTCATTGAATTTTATCATAGTATAAATTACATACCTAGTTTTTAGTAAATTGTTGAATGTCTGATTCCAAAAGAAGAAATGACCCAGTTTTTATATGTTCTCAATTCTGCAGAAGATATTGTAAATTTACATCTAACTGTAATGAATGGATTACATAGTATGGTTTGGACTCTGATTGTTGACCATTGGTAGCTAGCATCTTCCCAAAAGGACTCATACCACCCCTAGGCTTCTGGCAACCTATGATCTTTAATGATTGTACTTTCAGATGCCATTCATTGGCCTCAACACATTTTTTTCTAATGAGGAATAGCCTTGTAAACAAATATTTTGAAATATACAGTGACTAGTTGTAAGTGACACACTGTGGACAACATTGTGAAGTATGAGTATTCCTGAACATTTGTGCTCTTGAGAAATCTGTACATGGACCAAGAGGCAGTTGTTCGAACAAAACACAGGAATGCTGAATGGTTTAAAATTAAGAAAGGTGTGAGACAGGGTTATATTCTTTCACCATACTTATTCAACTTGTTTGCTGAACAAATCATCCAAGAAGTTGGGTTATATGAAGAAAAATGTGGCATCAAGGTTGGAGGAAGACTTATTAACAATCTGCAATATGCAGATGATACAACCTTGCTTGCTGAATGAAAGTGAAGATGAATTAAAATACTTACTGATGAAGATCAAAGAGCACAGCCTTTTGTATGGATCGCATCTCAATGTAAAGAAAACAAAAATCCTCACCACTGGACCAATAAACAGCATTCTTATTAATGGATAAAAGATTGAAGTTGTCAAGGACTTCATTCTTCTTGGATCAACTATCAACACTCACAGAAGCAGCAGTCAAGACATCAAACATTGTATAGCATTAAGCAAATCTGCTGCACAAAACCTTTTTAAAGTGTTGAAGAGCAAAGATGTCAACTTGAAGACTAAGGTGTGCCTGACCCAAACCATGGTATTTTCAGTAACCTCATATGCATGTGAAAACTGGACAATGAATAAGGAAGACTGAAGAAGAACTGATGCATTTGAGTTATGGTGTTGGAGGAGAATATTCAAAGTGCCACGGGCTGCCAAAAGAATCAACAGATCTGTATTGGAAGAAGTGCATCCAGAGTACTCCTTGGAATACAGGATGGCCAAACTTTGTCTCTCTTACTTAGGACACATTGTCAGGAGGGACCAGTTGCTGGAGAAGAATATCATGTTTGGTAAGGTCAGCGAAAAAGAGGAAGACCCCTAGCGAGGTGGATTTGCAAAGTGGCAGCATTGTTGGGCTCAAAAACTGCAACAATTGTGAGGTTGGCCCAGGACTGGTTGGCTAGTGTTTTGTTCTGTTGTGCATAGGGTCACTGTGAGTCGGTACTGACTTGATGGCACCTAACAACAACAACGGTTGTGAGTAGAGGACAGGTAAAACTGATTCTCTCATGTCTAGCCATTAGAAGCAATGCTTCAAATCCTCTTGAATTTGAAGTTTCTTAGAAAGATTAGTTTGGCTTTTTACGCTCATATGAATCATCTTCATGAACTCATAGCATGATTTCAATATTCCATTCTAGTAACTTTTCTTCTTTTAGAACCTACATTGCTTCCTGTCTGGAGATGTTGTGTCTGGACTACTAATTAAAATTGCTTACTTATTCATTTTAAGTTCTGTTATTGTGATTCAAAGAGTCTGTACAGACCTCCGATAAGGCATTGCTGTACTGCTTAGTCAAAAGGAACCATTTGAAGGCTTGATCTTAAATACATTGTGCATATCCATGCTTAACAAGTTATTAAAAAAAAACACCAAAAATCTCAGAACTACAACCTGAAGCTATAGTAGAAGCAATTCACTGAGAATTCATTTGCAGCAATAGGAAGTCTGATAAAGACTGCAGGTTTTGGTGAGAAATGTGTTTTACTTTTATGTCCACATCACAATATAACAACAATAGGTATGGATTTAGCTCCATGCTGCATAGATTTTCATTTGGAAATGGAGAACTAAAATCAACACAATTAGACTTGCATTTTCTCTAGATGTCTCATTTTTTTAGGAAGCAGGATAATATTATCTAACATACAAAATTAAATTGGTGGTAATATTAAATGAGACAAAATTTAATATTACTATGAATTCACATATATGTTGTTGTTGTAGGTGTCACTGAGTGTTCCACCTCAGTGACCCCAATGTACAACAGAAATATAGCCCAATCCTGCACCATCCTCATAATCATTGCAGTGTTGGAGCCCATTTCTACAGTCATGTGTCAAATCATCTCATTGGAGATCTTGTTATTCTTTCACTGACCCTTGCTCGACTTTACCAAGCTTGATGTTCTTTTCCAGGAACTGATCTTTCCTGACAACATGTCCAAAGTATGATGCCTCACCATCCTTTCTTCTAAGCTATACTTCTTCCAATACAGATTTGTTTGTTCTTCCATGATACTTTCAATATTCTCCAACACCAAATGCATTGATTCTTCTAAGATCTTGCTTGTTTATTTTCTAACTTTCGCATGCATATGAGGTGATTGAAAATACCATGGCTTAGGTCAGGTACTTTAAGTCCTCAAGCTGGCATCTTTGCTCTGTCTTGAGTAGCAGATTTGCCTAATGCACTATGTCCTTTGATTTCTTAACTGCTGCTTCCATGAGTGTGGATTGTGGATCCAAGTAAAATAAAATTTTTTAAAAGTTCATTTTTTTCACTAT